TTCATTCCTATGTACCATGTGTTTTTCAACTCGACTGGCCTAGGTCGTCAAGCCAAGTCTGAGTATCAGCAAATAACATTGACCTAGTATGGTTCACTAAGGACCATACTCTAACTGAGTTTATGTTCTACTATATTAGGATATTAGTTATAAGTTCTCATAAGGCTTTCAATGACCACAAAAACCCAACATCACCTTCTAAAGATGTAGAAAAATTCATTAGCAAGAAAGTATTTCCTATGTTTTGTAGCATATATAGAGAAAGTTGGGACTAGGAAGAGCTCATTAATAAACCCTCTAAGTTTAGTGGAGTTTTCAGGTCACTTCATGATTATAAGAGCAAATTTTTAAGGTTATCGATTTCAAGAGCGAAGTTGGATGTTCCACAAAATGAAAAGGCATGATTGTCATCATTAGAGCATTTTATCAGTTATTTAGAATTGGTTAAGATAATGTAGATTCAAGATTTAGAGAACATTTTGGCAAAGTTTTGCGTTGATGGCTTACCTAATACAACCCACATCCATTACCCCGACTTAGGATTAGTCAAGAAAATTCCTTGAAATTAACAACCCTCTTGAAGAAATTTTGGAAATGTATAAGTAAATAGTGCATGGTAAATTATAAGTAATATGCAACACAAGCTCATAATAGTTTTAAAAAGGGATTGTCTATAAAGAGACTCTTTATTTTTTATACATGGAAGCTACAATCATTATTATCCTTTAATTTTCAAAATCGATGGTTGTAAGAGTGTTATTGAATAGACACAAATATCAAAAAAAAAAAAAATTCTCATACTTCGTGACTCATTTCAAGCCATCCAATTTGATATCTAATGAGTATGAATGATTGTGACATCTATGCACAAAACATAAATAATGTCTTTATAGATAATCCCTTTTAAAAAAACTCTACAGTTACTTCACACATTTATTTTACAAAAGTCCAAAATAAAAGAAGATTATACGTTACACACAATAACACGAGGTTTTGTTGGAGTTTATACTCGACCATTATTTCATGGCTATGCTTAAAAGTTGTAGGGTAACACACCCGACAAGCCTCCTCTCTTTTTTCATCTCTATCGTAACTTAAAAGTCCAGTAGGCTATGGTTCTTATACTTCCCTGCCCTTGGACATGTATTTGCATGGGTGCGCATTGCTCTGCATTTAATTTTATTTTTTCAGGAAATTTATCAAAACACACATGAGAGCATGAGTTAGGATAGTTGAAAAAAGAGAAAATAGTAAAAATTTTAATTATTCAAATTATTTTAATAACTTTCTCTCTTTTTGTGGGAAAATTATGCATACCACCACCACCATTGGAACATACACCTAAAAGAAAACTTTTAAAATCACACAACTAAACGAATTACTTTTTTGCGGCCACCACCGTAAGGAAAAATATATCTTTGTTTTGGATGAAAGTACCCCCAATGGATAAACCAACAATTCTTTCTCATCCCTACACTTTCTCCCTCAAGGCTTTTAGTATTAGATAGTTTCTCTCTTAAGAAACTTGAAATTTGAGATAATTTCTCTCTCTGAAAATTTTCGGATAGTTTTTCTACGGTAAAACTTGAAATTTGAGATATGGTCTCTAAAAAAACTTGAAATTTGAGACAGTTTATTGTTTCAAAAAAAATTGATATAGTTTATATCTTTAAAAATTGAATTTTGAGGTTCTATCTCTAAAAAATTTTAGAGTTTCACTCTAAAAATTAAAATTT